ACTTTGTTGAAATTAGTTATGAAAAAAAGATTAAAATAAACTCTTGGTATGCATTATATTATACATATTTTATACTATACATAATAGAATGATTTTGTTCGAAATATGATTTTGATAATTTTATTTATTAGTATAGAATACGTCATAGGTATATCATAAATTAAATATTAGAATAATATGTACCTATATTGTATGTTTATGATGAAAACTTATGACTTTAATACATTTATACATTTTATTACTGTGCATATTATAATATTCAATGTATATTATTATAATAATATTATACGCATAGCAATGTAGACATTTAAATAAATAATTTCAATTTTATAAGTTTATAGTWTCACAGTAGCCTCTCTTTGCAGCATATGGCTCTTACGCCAGATGTTAAGTACAGATACACTATACACTGTACGTGAGGTATGAAGCCTGTAGAGATGTGTTTTTTCTTTTTAAATTACAAAATAAGATATGAAATGAATTATTTATTTGCAATGTCTACAAAATAACTGCAGTCACGAGAAGTTGTTGCTCACATTCCCCAGAAGTTGTAGAATACAAGTTCACACTATTCATAATTTGATGCTCTGTTATTAGATCGTTTGTTTATTTGACAAAGGAAATGGAATTTAATTTTGCAGGATGATTTAAGAATGAAATTTGACGTCAAATTTGTAGTTTGTACCTGTATAATAATGAACATAAATATGGTTTTTAACATAGCGTGAGTTTTCATATTTTAGTTTTCCTGACATTTTGTAGTACTKTGATACTGTTTTATGTTTCTTTATTTCATCTTGAAATTCATTGTTACCAAACTGATGAAAGTCATGTATATAAAATCTATCTAATATATTTCCTAATATAAAATAGTTCTGTTTGATAACTTTTATTTTTTTGACCTATATTCCTAGAGGTTTTAATAATATTATTATTTGATTGAAATTTTAAAATCAATTAAATGTTCTGTAGTGAATTAAGTTGTGTACTTTATCTAAGTATTTTTAAGCTTTAAACGGAATAAGCTTTGTTAAAGCATTGATTTCGTTAAACTATTGAGTTACATTCACTTGTATAACTTTAGCTATTATGGTTTATAAGATTCAATAATGTTTGTAGAGTGTGTTTTTTCTTATTATTTGTTTAAAATGATAAAATGTTAAGCACTAAGCTTATTGTCGGTCGCAAAGTTGTACTTTTAATAATATATATATATTTCTTATAAAAATCATGTCAAACTTTTAATATCATACATTCCCAAAAATCGTCATCAGGCAAGTTGCCGAAAATACAGAAAACGCAAAATTTGGTTTAAAGTTTTAAAATATTTTAAAGTTAAAAATAACGTAAATATTCAGTGAGTTTCCACGACGTAAAAGTATTCAACTTTCACTTATATTTTTGTAGAGATAAAATAATCTACATTAAATTATATTATTTTCCGATTATTGGGTATCAGTGATGTATTAATGTACTATACTATAGTACCATCAATCATAAATCTTGTGTAATTTTAATCTTAGAGAAGAATATATTTTTAGTTTTAAAAGATATATTATGTGTAATGCATTTAACAGGTCTGGTGTGTAATTTTCCACATTATCACATATGTAAAGCATATTGTAAATATTTTCCATAYATAATGTTTTGTTCCGACTTCTCGCAAAACAAATATTTAACTGAAATTATGTTATTTTTAAGCTTCATGCGTTGAATACGTTGTATTCTAGTATAAAATATAAATTGTATACGTTTAAATCRTATTCGATTTTGTTGCACACTCGCAAATATTTGCTCATAAATAGCTTTTTAGAAGTGCAAAAACTAAAATGGAATGATCCTGAAAATCACTATGACCACTGAATACCTACACAAATTTGAACGATCAAAGCCGTTATATAAAATGCCACTGCTTATTAAAAATAATGATGGTTGCCGTGCCGATACTTAAATAATACGTCGTATCACGACCACGATCCCGGACTCGAATGATGTGAGTGTGTTTTCATTAATCTTGCGTGTCATTGTGTTTCAGAATGCGACAGTTTGTCCAACATGAGCATAACGGTTCCCGTAGCCGTGGCGTCCGGCGATTCGGCCAAGATGACGTGCACCTACGATCTAGAATCAGATCCACTGTACACTGTCAAGTGGTACAAAGGTCGTCAGGAGTTCTTCAGGTACGTGCCGAAGGAACTGCCACACACCAGAGTTTTCCCGTGGCCCGGCATAAACGTGGACGTAAGTGTACTGCAATTATTACTCGCAAGACAATAACTACTAATAGCCAAGGAGGTGGGTGGGGGGGGTGCACAGGGTGCAAGTGCCACTCCTTGGGGTTAGGTTAGGTTAGGTTAGGTTTTTATATAAACGATGGTAATAAATGTACTTTTAGTTCTACTAGAGAAAAAAAATAAAGTGCAACCGTCTGCACACAAAAATTAATTTACTGGCTACGACATTGATAACAATAATAAAAATGATATACCATTATGCAAATTATCATTATTTGSGTCACCACATAGGTATATAAGCACGAGCAATGAGCATGTGTGTTTGCTGTAGGTCRTATAGCCCTTTGGTTACTCGCGTTATTATTGTGTTAAAAGCTGCACACGTGCGTCATATGCGAACCCGGACTGTTACGTTTTTACATCAAACCCCTACTGGAAATTTATCATTTACCATTCGGAAACACTCCGCAGAATATCATCATAAATTATTGTATTTATATTATACGAAACGTTAATAAATGATCAAACATTATAATGGAGAATATCTAGCATATTATATTATGGGATGCATACCGATTAACGTGAAATAATACGATTCAGTAAACTGATATTGTTTTTTGTATATAATATTTATAAAATGTTAGGAATGCATTGTAAAAGACAATAATTACATGATATTTTGGTTTTAGATCGAAGCGTACGTAAAATATAGTTGATATAATTCGTAACCGTTAACTTTTTCATGTGACGATACACTTTTTTGAATTTTTACGAAATTTTAGTCACAAAATTCAAAAGTTTTATCAAAATGTAAGATGTAATCGGCACTCTGAAGTAAAAATTAAGTTTAACAATTATAGTAGTAAATTGTTCAATTACAGCAATCTCCAAAATAAGGAGCGTTGTAGACTTTTTTTAAATTGTATTTACAATGTAATTTCATACTATTATTATGTCAAATATTTTATTTTCAATTAAGTCTTAGGTAATTACTTTTATTAGTCCGCAACGAAAAAGTATTATTACTTTACTCTTTTATCCGAAGCGTTTAATTAAATATAATGTAAGCTATTTTTTTAAATRTAAAACAATCATGATATTATATTTGCATAATATGTAACCTTATACTTTTCTAATTTCAATTTAATTCAGACAGTTAATTATACCTAATATAGTTTAAGTAAATATATTTTTTGTGTTTTAAGAAAACCGTTTTCTTTGAACAAAAATAGTACTTTTTATAGATGTTTTGAATTCTTTATGGGTATTTATATTTTTTCTTACGTAAATCTTATTAAAGYTTTTTCTCTGTCAACGGCGTATTGTTCTTATTGTATACATGGCGATTTATCTTAAAAGTTTATATTCAATTAGCATACATAMATTTTTATTTTGAATATCGTGCTTCTATTATTTTAAATAAATTCCTGCTAGTACCTACCGTTTCAARTTTATGACAATTATTTGTTTTTAAATTTTAAAGTATTGTCAAAATCGKGGAAAATGTGTAAAACGTTTTGTAATTTGAAAATGTTTCGTGGTTATTTAATTTCAGCGAATAATACGATAAGACAATATAGATCTAGTTGGCTTATGTACAGTACTAATATATGTCCGCGTATTTTTAGCAGTACTCAAAAATTATATTTTTACATATTCTSTCATATAATTAATCACACTGATTTTCTGTTATATGTCAAATCAGGTTAGCCAATCAGGACCTAATCAAGTGGTATTACGAGACGTAAAAAGACACTTGTCAGGAAAATACCGATGTGAGGTATCAGCTGACGCACCGTCATTTCACACGAAAATCGTGTCCTCATGGATGCACGTTGTCTGTAAGTATTAAAACATTTAAAACTGTGTTTGAACAACACTATTTCATACAAAATATATGGATTACGTCGACAAGTCACAAACGATCATATAATATATATATTGCGTGTATGGTTTTTCCTGTYTGTATTTAGTTTTACGATTTGTAAATTCGAATTTATCGATTTAAATTATAATTTACTACAATGTTTATTGTTTCGGAACCTGTCGATATGTTTCTCACTTTAATCAAATACTTTGAATTGATGTTGAATATGATTTAATTTAGATATCACTCAAGATTAGTGGTTTTGAAAAATATCGAGTGACAGCTGACGATATTAATCGATTTTTTTCATATCGTATAATATAGAACAGACGTATTACGTTTCAGCCGACAATGTACGTTTATTAATGATAAAAGATTCGTTGGTTAAATAAAAAAATAAAAACCCAACGTAGGTACGACTAATGTTCTGTTTTATAACAATTATTATTAGCCGTATAATGATATGTCATACACGTCAACCGCACGTTATACAAAATATGCCATTTTTTATTCATGAACTTCGGTCATAAATAATGATGAGGGGCTTAAAAGAAACATTTTGTCGAGTTATTATATTTTCTTGTGGATAAGCCAGCTCTTTTTTAAAAATTAAACCCAAATGCCAAGTTTCTCTGCCTTAATTTCAAGGGTATAATTAAATCCAATTTAAATAAATTATTTTACTACTAAATAGTACGATTCAGTTCTACGCGCTCTTGATTGATAAATATTTTGAAWTWATATGACGGTTTGAATAATGATTCAAAACAACTATAGGATACATGCACYTTGATTGTACAATTTATTTCATATATTTTATTTTATTTCGTACATAATATGACGAATAAAATTTTACTCTGAAATATTACAATTGACATGTGTTTCATAAAAATATATTGTGGGAAATCGTGAGTGGTAGACTGGTATTCAAATGTCTGAAGGTTTACAGAAACCCAAGAAAGACAGTTGTAAAGGTTCAACCGTAATCACAACAACCGCGTAATCATCGTAATTGGCATTGGTGCTAAAAGATGTTTGTAGTGAGTTGCTACTATTAAAACAAGACTGTATCTCGGTAAGTACTATACAAATTTTCGTAAAACCATTTTGTATACATGTATTACATACACCTACTACTGTTAAAATTTACAATAATATTATGCGTTGGAAATTAAAAGCATATTAAAAATAATACTAAGTTTCTTATTTAGTACCCTACATTGGATTTAGTCATTATTAAATTATAATATTTGAAATACAACAATAAAATAAATTAACTACATCACTTATACAACTGACTCACATACTTTGATGTATTGATAGTTAAATAAGAAACCATAATTTTTACAACTAATTATAAAAATAGTGTAGCTAAATTGCCTATCCGGATCGCCGGATCACCATGAAATTATTGTATATAATAATACAAAATTAAAAAATGCATGTCTCTTGAAATAAAGTTAATAATAAAAAGCGAGAAATTCACTTAAACGTAGTTATAAAAGCTTCATTTTGATAATAGTGATATAATGTAGTCGAATCGGTAAAAAATTGTCTAAGTAAGCATAATATTCATCATTCTATTTCAAATTTAGATTTTTGTCTAATCCATTGATTGTTTTAACTCCAAATCTTATTTACTTGGATATTCCAATTCAGGGTAATATTTTGCATTTTGTCGTRYTTTATCCGAATACTAATTTAGTATGATGAAAACCATTTTTTTTTTACTACAGTTATATTTTATAGCACTTCATCTTGGTAATAAAAATAATAAAAAGTTTATAAAAGTTTAATATCCTACAGTTTGAGTTCGTTATTTTCCTATATTGCACCAATTAAATTGCAACYCTGTAATAGTTCAATACACAAATTACGTCTAAAAATCACGAATAATACAATGCCACGCCCAGGAAAACCGTGTAGCGGAACAAATCTTAACTTTAAATAACAAAGACGATGTTCATAAAAATAACAGTCGTCGATCGTCCCTCAATCACATATAACACGCTTTTGAAGTGACAGAAGACTAACAGAAGTGACTTTACTCATATTGTATTTGACTTCCTCGTAGTCTGCACCTAAATTTCCACCCGAAGCTGCGGGAGTGTAGTTCAAACAAATGTCGAGTGTGTTACAACACGGTTATTATACTGTACAGATTAATACGCGCGAACGCCAACGACGTTATTATTTTATAATATCATAATGTATTTTAATTACGGACCGGCGGCGGAAGCCATGGGCGTTTGACGTAAAAACGTAATCGGCGTGGTGGCGGCGGTGGCTTGATGATATTTTTATACTAAARCGGTTGGTTTTTTCATAGTTTTTTTCGTTCCTCTCGCAACACTCGTCAACCACGCTTAAATAATATTATTGCGCCCTATCGTGGGCGGCCGTAGTGACGACTATTAATAACATAGAATTTATCGAGTTTTTTTTTTCGCGCTTGTTTTGGTGGTTTCGGACCACCCGCACAAATCCGACCATTAAGACTATAAAAGTAATTAAGCTGGATGACCGCGTAACGGATGTGTGTTTGTGTGGTGAGTGAGAAAGGGAGAGTCAGGGGTGAAAATAATATTGTTTTTCCCGAAAACCGCCTGAAAGAAAGCCGTTAGTGACAGCTGTGTTTTTTTCGCGAGTCGCGTCGTCGTCGTGTAAATTTTAATCCCGGGTCGCCGTGGCACGCAAAAATATCATCGTGTCGCCTTGAATGTGTGTGGTGTTTGTGCGAGTGTGCTACTGTGCTACTGGTGTGTGTGTGCGTGCGCGCGCGTGTTCAATCTCGCACCCGGCAAAGATCCAAAACAAATAAACCGTAACGACGGGAGATGGAGAACGTGAACAAGACCAGAAAAAAGAAAAAGAGAAATACCGAGAGAAAAGTTATACTTGGTTTTGTAGTTTACTCGCGCGGTGGCATCTTTTGCCCGACAACTTTGACGGGTTTTCAACCGATAGAATATGAAAATGAAAAACCACTCCCGCTGCTCGATACATACAATAATAATAATAATAATAATATAATAGTAATTGTAAAAATGTTTATTACACAGTTTTAAATATTATATTATTAATAAAATAATATTTTTCGCTACCGG